TACTAGTACATAAATAATACTAAAACAACACTGGAAAAAGTGTCTGCTATACGTATAGAGTAAATGTAAAATTGTGTCTTAAGCTGTATATTTGCATTTTTGTACTAATCAGTTTTCGTGAACAGCATTTTATTATTTTATTATTATCACAGGGTAGCACCGCCACGCTGAATTATTTTTGGTTCAAAATCCCAAACCTTTAAACATCAGACCTCTTCTGATTGGCTGTTATTTAACCGTGTCATTTAGCTTGGAGCCCAAACAAACAAACCACTTTTGTCTGATAATTTATCACATTGCGCCTGTGTTAACGTAAACTTAAAACACATAAAACACACAAATCTAATGGTCTTTCTATATTTATTTTATTTTAAATTTTAAAACTGGGGAAAAATATATGGAGGATTGTAGCTTTGAAAATTAAGTTGTAAAGGTGGTTTGTCTGTAAAGCAGGACCACACAGAAGAACATCTGAGATTTTCCACATTATCGCACAGCAAACACCTTTCCGTGGCCGGACATCTGTGTCAGCTGCTGAATCCCTATCACTATCCCTGCACCCTATCCCTATCTCAAACCTCTCAGATCCCACTTCCATTTCAAACTGAAATGTGTGTATATGGCGTGTAGAGTGTATTCACAGGACCATGGGTTGCGGACACAGACTTGACTGACTGCATTTGCATTCAAGGCTCACACTTCTGGCTCTTTCACACACAGCAGATGTCTGTGTTTCTGCATTTGTCGGCTGTCTGGATCGGTTTGGAAACGAAGAATGAATTTAAGAAGTCTTGGGAGCATCTGTTCAACAATCGCAAGCATGGCTTGAAGCTAGAATAAAGATTCAACATCACGTTGAGCTAAAATATTGATTTATTTTCTTGGTGATATGTATAATATGAAGCGGTAAAGCAAAATGAGACTACTTTTTTATAACCAGTGTTGCTTGAGGACCAATGATGGTTATAAAAGTGCATGAGGCACGGCTGATTAAGTACAGATGTGCATTTAAAACATCTGGATGGTCCTCAGCAGGGTGATGTATGATTATTGGTCTCGATGGAGGACGCGCGGTACCATAACTGAATATCTCATCAAACCATGAATCCGTCAGCGAGAATTTTGTTTTAATGAAATGCTGGTTTTGATTTGTGAGAGGTCTGCAGAGCTTGAAATAATTTGCAAAGCGTGTGCGCGCACACACGCACACCTGCCCTCCCGTGGTCTCCTGGTCCTCCGCGACAATCACAGCGACGGCAGTTGCCAGAGAGATAATTACATAGCGACTGAAGCGCAGCGGCCTGTTCCACACTGGATGTGAGAGAGGGAAAAATGTTATTACAGCGCAACAAGCCTCTTTATTTCAGCGACCAACTGGAGAAAAGCTTTTTTGAAAAATCGTTTTTGAGTTTTCAGGCCCACACTTCTGAATAATGGATCTCCCATCCCCCATAATTCCCAGCGCTCTGTGAGTCGGGCCACGAGTATCGATTCACTGTGAGCAGGTGCTCGATTTCCATCACCATTTCAAATGCTCCAATTCAAAATGCATAAATACATAAACATTAGAGAAGAAAATGGTGGCAAAAGGTCAAAAAACATAACAAGTGGCATTTACACAGAGAGTTACATTACCTTGTTTTCTTTTCTTTTGCAGAAAATTGCTGTGTGTGTAGCCTAAAATACACTCACCTAAAAGATTTTTAGGAACACCTGTTCAATTTCACATTAATGCAATTATCTAATCAACCAATCACAGGGAAGTTGCTTCAATACAATCTCCTGGACTCTCCAAACTGAATGTCAGAATAGGAAAGAAAAGTGATGTAAGCAATTTTGAGCGGTTGCTCAGTTGCTTAGGGATTTTCACGCACAACCATTTCAAGGGTTTACAAAAAATGGTGTGAAAAGGGAAAAACATCCAGTATGCGGCAGTCCTGTGGGCGAAAAGGCCTTGTTGATGCTAAAGGTCAGAGAATGGGCCGACTGATTCAAGCTGATAAAAGAGCAACTTTGAAATAACCACTCGTTACAACCGAGGTATGCAGCAAAGCATTTGTGAAGCCACAACACACACAACCTTGAGGCGGATGGGCTACAACAGCAGAAGACCCCACCGGGTACCACTCATCTCCACTACAAATAGGAAAAAGAGGCGACAATTTGCTAGAGGTCACCAAAATTGGACAGTTGAAGACTGGAAAAATGTTGCCTGGTCTGATGAGTCTCGATTTCTGTTCAGACATTCAGATGGTAGAGTCAGAATTTGGCGTAAACAGAATGAGAACATGGATCCATCATGCCTTGTTACCACTGTGCAGGCTGGGGGTGGTGGTGTAATGGTGTGGGGGATTTCTTATTTGCTTTTTTCACAATAATGACTTTAAATTATGTTTAATTTAAATTTAATGTGCTATTAATTTTCGATTCATTCAATAAATGAATCAATCACCCCATTGTGTAATTTAATTAGATTGACAATTGAATTTTTTTTATGATATATGATATATGTTTTACATTTTTGCTTTTATTTTAAAGCAAAAGTCTGAAAAATCAAGAATTTAAGAATATGTTTTAGAGCTAAAAGGAACAAAGCTAGACTTTTGCTTACACCACAACATTCACAATATAAGATTCCATTTTCGTCCAGAATCCTGTTACACGTCTCAAAATTCAGAAATTCCCATGTGTCCTTTCTCTCTCATCTTCCTGCCCCAACACCATTAATGATGAAACACTTAAGTCAGTGCCCCCCGCCCCTCGTTCCTGGGGGTCTTTGGCTCCTGGGGGCCACGTCCCTCCCCCACCCCTTCACTCTCAGCCAGCAGCAAGGCTTGAAGTCTCCACAGTTCTTTGTTCATCCGATCATCTGTGTGATATCAGAGCCAGCGCTCACATGCAATTAACACCCGAAACCTAAACCCAGCGTCTCGCGCGCAGAGGCCCGTATTTACCCACTGCACTTGTCGGCGTTTGTTATTTTTATGCAAATCACAACAATAATGATATAAAAAGAAAGGAAGCACTGGTAATTTGATGGGTGTTTCCCTAGTTAGCGCTGTTAATTAGGAGTGAACTCAGTGAACACCTCCTTCACGATCACCAATTTTGTACATTTTCTTCAGGGTGGTTGCTAGGGCATTTCTATGGTATTGTGGATGGTTGTTAAAGTGTTTCTATCTGGATGATTGACAGGCAGCTGCTAGGATATTTTAGGGATAGTTGTTTTCCTTTAGGGATAGTGTTCTCCTTGAGCATTGAAAGGTTGTTGTGAGAGCACAGCTAGGTGGTTGTTAAGATGTTCTACAAGGTTGCTAGGTGGTTGCTAGGCAGTTGCTATGTTGCAGTGTGCTATGCTTATAGTGTTGCTAAGATATACTGTGGTTGCTGAATGGTTGCTAGGACGTTCTGGCTGATTACCAGGGTGTTGCTAGGTGGTTTCTAAGATATTTCTAATAGCAATGCTAAATGGTTGAAAGGCAGTTGCTATGGTGTTCTGGGTGGTTGCTATAAAGTTCTGGTTGGTTTGCGTAGTGTTTTAGGTTGTTGTGAACATAGTACTATGTGGTTGCTAGTCAGTTTTTATGGTGTTTTGAGTGGTTGCTAGGGGATTTCTTTCATTGTGGGTGGGTGGTTGTTAAAGTGTTACAGGATGACTGATTGTTCTGGGTATAGGTGTGCTATAAATGGCTTGGACATTGCTAGGTGGTTGTTATGGGTCACTGCTGGGTGGGTGTTCTGCATGGTTCCTAGCGCAATGCTAGGTGGTTACTAGGTAGATGCTATAGTCCTCTGAGTGGTTACTAGGGTGTTGCTAGAAAGTTTTATTTGGTTATTAGGGAGTTGCTGTGGTTGCTAACCAGTTGCTTTTGTATTCTGGGTGGTTGATGGGGCATTTCTAAGGTATTTTGGACGGTAGCTAAATTGTTGTCAGGATGGTCTGGGTGCTTGCATTTCCTACAGTGTTATGAATGGTTGTCTGGTCGTTGCTAGGTGGCTGTTATGACATGGGTGGTTGCGAAGCAGTTTCTAGTGAGTTTCCTAAGATGTTATCAATGGTTGCTTGGGTGTTGCAAGGATGTTCTGGGTGACTGTTAAAGGATTTCTTACTGTAGGTATTCAGCATGTTTTCTAGGGAATTTTTGAGGTATTGTGGGTGGTTGTTAAGGTGTAGCTAGGGTGATGGCTAGCTGTTTTAATGGTGGAAAAGGAACTGTCATTCCAATATCTGGCTTGGTTAAATAATCATGTTGCATATCTTGGTAAAGCACAGAATGATTCGAATTTACAAAACATGGTCATGTGACAGATCATATTTGGGAATTTAAACCATAAAGCTGTAACCACTTCCAGCTGGTTGGAAATCATCAGTCAGACAGTGGAGAGGGATGAGAAGAGGGAGGGAATGACAGACAGATGGAGATGGATACTACAGCTATGAGTGCTCCAGAGAGAGCCAGCAAACCATTCCCTGTCCCCTTCAGCCAATAAAACCGACTGCATTAAGATAATAACACTGTATGGCAATTATTAAAGGGCAATAAAACCGCTTTAGAGCCCTCTCCAGGCTATGAACTGTGTGTATGTGTGTGTGTGTGTGTTATCAGCTATGAGGTAGAGATGGATTTTCAAACATACTAAGATGTTTTGTAATCCAATAACTGCTTCAGAAAATCTTGTTATCTTGAGGACTGGAGCTTTTACAAACCAGCTAGTTATCAAACACCAAATCCATTAGGCATGACTAAGAGTGAAATACGACTGAAAATTGCATATGAGTCAGTAAAAAGGACTTTAGTTTCATAATGCGCTTATACATCGGTATGTTAATTCTTGCTATTCTGGTATTGTCGTAAGTGCAACAAGCTGCAAATCCTTTTTTTTTTTTTTGTTTACTGTTCTGCAGTACATAAAAAAATACCATATAAACAGGCATTCTGCAAATCTCCATTCAAATTGAGCTGTTCACTGATTGGTGGAGGCTGATAATGATCACTCACCTCTGAGCCAATAAGACGAATCACCAGGCTGACCATGGGCCGAGTCCCTGAGGAGGTCAGGAATGAGCAGCCCTAAGAAACAAAGAGTGTTAGACCGCATCAATACAGCGTATTGACAGCTATAAGGAGTAATCATCAACTGTGCATTCAAACAATAGGAGCTGCTTTTTGAATAAATATTAAAAAACTTTAAAACAAAAAATAAAATTAACCAAATTAAACCAAATTAAAATATAAAACAAAATATACAATAAAGAGATCATTTATAATAAAACACAAGTAAGCAAACACAATATATTGCAGGTTGTTTACTTCAAATCGAGCTTGTCCATACCTACAACTAAATTAGACTCATCCCTGTCTCTAAGAGAATGGAGGCTGTGGTCATCAACAGTTGGCGTGGCTGTTGTTGCCTGCTGAGGGCAGTGTTGTTGTGCAGGGGCTGAAGGTGTGAGTGTGCATGGCACCTGCCCGCTGCTCCACGGGTGGAGTTGGCACTGTTAGCAGATGGCCAAACCCTGAGGGCACACAGAAAACCATGCTTCCTGGCAGTATGCCCTGAAGATGAACTCAGTCTGAGTCGCAAGAGTGAATGAGGGGTAGTCGGGTCAAAGGGTATGAGACAAAAGTAATGAAAGACAAAATATAATTTTACAATGATGCCAAAACATGTAACAAAACGAACAATAGTGGTAAACAACAACAGTGCTAAAACCACACAGCAACGGAATACCGACACCTTAACAACCACCTAGATCAGCAAGAATAGTGATAAAAAACACACAAAACCTTAGCAACCACATACTGTAGCAACACCCTAACAACCACCAAGACCACCAAGCATAGTGATGAAAAACACAGAGAAACTTAGCAACCACAGAGTAACACCCTAACAACTACCTAGAGATCACCAAGAATTAGTGATAAAACCACATAGAGCCATACAAACTGCATGGCAACACCCTAACAATCATCTAGATTCCTCAGCATAGTGACAAAATTCACGCTGAACCTTAGCAACCGCATAACATTAGCAACACCCTAACAATCACCTAGAACACCAAGCATAGCTAACAAATCACACCAAACTGCATAGCAACACCCTAACAATCATCTAGATCAGCTAAAAGTGCTAAAATCCTCACAGAACCTTAGCAACCACATAGCAACACCCTAACAACCACCTAGATCACCAAGCATAGTGATAAAAACCACTCGAACCTAAGCAAAATAATAGCAATACCCTGACTGAGTGAATGAGGGGTAGTCGGGTCAAAGGGTATGAGACAAAAGTAATGAAAGACAAAATATAATTTTACAATGATGCCAAAACATGTAACAAAATAAACAACAACAGTGGTAAAAAACAACAACAACAACAGCAGTGCTAAAACCACACAGCAACGGAATACCAACACCTTAACAACCACCTAGATCAGCAAGAATAGTGATAAAAAACACACAAAACCTTAGCAACCACATACTGTAGCAACACCATAACAACCACCAAGACCACCAAGCATAGTAATGAAAAACACAGAGAAACTTAGCAACCACAGAGTAACACCCTAACAACTACCTAGAGATCACCAAGAATTAGTGATAAAACCACACAGAGCCATACAAACTGCATGGCAACACCCTAACAATCATCTAGATTCCTCAGCATAGTGACAAATTTCACGCTGAACCTTAGCAACCGCATAACATTAGCAACACCCTAACAATCACCTAGAACACCAAGCATAGCTAACAAATCACACCAAACTGCATAGCAACACCCTAACAATCATCTAGATCAGCTAAAAGTGCTAAAATCCTCACAGAACCTTAGCAACCACATAGCAACACCCTAACAACCACCTAGATCACCAAGCATAGTGATAAAAACCACTCGAACCTAAGCAAAATAATAGCAATACCCTGACTGAGTGAATGAGGGGTAGTCGGGTCAAAGGGTATGAGACAAAAGTAATGAAAGACAAAATATAATTTTACAATTATGCCAAAACATGTAACAAAATGAACAACAGTGATAAAAAACAACAACAACAACAACAACAACAGTGCTAAAACCACACAGCAACGGAATACCAACACCTTAACAACCACCTAGATCAGCAAGAATAGTGATAAAAAAACACACAAAACCTTAGCAACCACATACTGTAGCAACACCCTAACAACCACCAAGACCACCAAGCATAGTGATGAAAAACACAGAGAAACTTAGCAACCACAGAGTAACACCCTAACAACTACCTAGAGATCACCAAGAATTAGTGATAAAACCACACAGAGCCATACAAACTGCATGGCAACACCCTAACAATCATCTAGATTCCTCAGCATAGTGACAAAATTCACGCTGAACCTTAGCAACCGCATAGCATTAGCAACACCCTAACAATCACCTAGAACACCGAGCATAGGGATAAAAATCACACCAAACTGCAAAGCAACACCCTAACACTCATCTAGATCAGCTAAAAGTGCTAAAATCCTCACAGAACCTTAGCAACCACCTAGATCACCAAACATGGTGATATAACCACACCGAACCTAAGCAACATCATAGCAACACCCTGACAATCACCTAGATCGCCAAGCATAGAGATAAAAACACACACAGAACCATAGCGACCGCATAGCAACACCCTAACAACACCCTAGATCACCAAACATAGTAATAAAAAAAACACACAGAACCTTAGCAACCAGCAACACCCAAACAACCACATAGATCACCAAGCATGGTGATAAAAACCACACAGAAACTTAGCAACCGCAGAGCAACACCCTAACAACTACCTAGAGATCACCAAGCATAGTGATAAAACCACACAATGCCATAGAAACTGCATGGCAACACCCTAACGGTCATCTAGTTCCCTCAACATAATGATAAAATTCAAGCTAAACCTTAGCAACTGCATAGCATTAGCAACACCCTAACAATCACCTAGAACACCAAGCATAGGGATAAAAATCACACCAAACTGCATAGCAACACCCTAACAATCATCTAGATCAGCTAAAAGTGCTAAACTCCTCACAGAACCTTAGCAACCACATAGCAACACCTTAACAACCACCTAGATCACCAAACATAGTGATAAAACCACACCGAACCTAAGCAACATCATAGCAACACCCTGACAATCACCTAGATCGCCAAGCATTGTGATAAAAAAACACACAGAACCTTAGCAACCGCATAGCAACACCCTAACAACCACCTAGATCACCAAACATAGTGATAAAACCACACCGAACCTAAGCAACATCATAGCAACACCCTGACAATCACCTAGATCGCCAAGCATTGTGATGAAAAAAACACACAGAACCTTAGCAACCGGTTATCAACACCCTAACAACCACCTAGATCAGCAAACATAGTGATAAAAACCACACCGAACCTAAGCAACATCAAAGCAATGCCCTGACAATCACCTAGATCGCCAAGCACAGTGATAAAAAAACACACAGAACCTTAGCAACCGCATAGCAACACCCTAACAACCACCTAGATCAACAAACATAGTAAAAAAAAAAACACACACACAGTACCTTAGCAACCAGCAACAACAACCACCTAGATCAACAAATATGGTAATAAAAATACTTAGGCAAAACCGCAAAACACTAATTCTTTACTATTTTGAAAGAACAAATCAAGTTACTCAATCTGGGATGAAACATGTAACACCACTCTGCCAAAATGCAGTGAAATCTTGTGAGTGTTGCATTCTAGGTCCTTCTAAAACAGCTAAAATTGGTTTGCAAACACCAGAAGGGCAGCCACAGATGAGCACTGCTCCCCTGAGATGCTCAGCCCTAAAATGTCATTGGCACTTTGGTCCCTCAGTGCACACAAAGGTCAATAGTGACAGAGATTCCTCACGTCTGCATCGATTCGGTCCACAGGACCATTACACGTGGCAATTACACAGTCAACTGACATTCTAATCATGCAGATTCATGCAGATTCAAAGGCTTTGGCATCCAAATACTGTGCAAATATGTGTGTGTGTGTGTGTGTGTGTGTGTGTGTTTAATACCCATTTATATCACATGTAGAATTGTAAAGACTAGATATTCCTGAGTGGATAACTTATGTAATATGAATCAGGCTGGTTATATGACTATCTATAGAGTGCTGCACATGGAGAGATGCCACCACACTGACTGGGCACAGATGGCACCAAAGCAGAATGACTGAGCTACTGTATCTGCTCACCTCCACATGCACATGGACACATACAAACACACATGCACATGTAAATACAAATAACCATGTTTATATGGTTATCCAAGAAGATCATTTTAAAAAGCAGGGGGGAAAAAGAGATAATCATAGATTACCCAAGTGTAAAAATCTATTGGCAGGAAAGAGGATGGATGGATGGAAAGGTGTGATCGATGCGGTCAAAGCAGCCCTGGGTCTCGGGGGATAGGCTTTAGCTACGAATGACTGAAGAAGATGACACATCTCCACTTAGACCAGTCCGAGAGCTCTGTGTGTGTGTGATGGCAGAGGGAGAGCGTGTGAAAAGTGAGTTGGCAAAGACTCAAGGGACGTGACAGCAGAAGCCTCTCCTCAGCCAGGAAAAGCAGGAAAATGACACAGTTACACACATGGGCAAACACTCCACTGTCATCTAAGAGATGCCAAAACCTGCTTCACTGGAGCCTCTGTGACTCTACCTGACACTTGCCTGTCCATCTGGCTGTATATGTGTGACTTTACTTCAAGGAGAACTGAATTAAGCTTTAATTAGTCCATTTTGTAATGCAGTTTTGGCCGATGAGATGACAATTATCTTGATTCTGGATTCTATACTATTGACTCAAATACAAAAAGCAAAATGAAACACATACACTGTAAAAAAAAAATTTGGAGTAGGATTTACTCGAAAAAAGCTTGCTAAATTTTCTCACTCAGAAAATGCTAGTAAATGTACAAAGATTTGCCAAGTAAAAACCTAAACATATCTATCAGTAGCTTTAATTAGAAATCTTTAAGTTAAATTTACAGTACTTGGAATGTGGAATTAAGTAAAGTTTACAAAAAATAACCAATTTTAACTCGGCTATAGTAAAAGGTTGATTAACATCAGTTTAACTTTGCCTTTGTATTACATTTCACTAAAATAATAATCTTGAATTTTATTAGTCATTTACAGTATGTGCTTAACTTAGATCATCTAAGTAATTTATATGACATCATGTCAGATGCTTAAAGGGATACTCCACTTTTTTTGGAAATAGGCTAATTTTACCACTCCCCCAGAGTTAAACAGTTGAGTTTTACCATTTTTTAATGTATTCAGCCATTTTTTTTTATATTTAGAAGAATACCAGTAACCAGACAGTTTCTGGTCTCATTGATTTCCATAGTATATTTTTTTCCTACTATGGAAGTCAATGAGACCAAAAACTGTCATTTAGATGAAAATTTAGATATTTTCATCTAAATATCAGAAAATCGGCTGAATGGATTTGAAAACGGTTAAACTCAACTGTTTAACTCAGGGGGAGTTGTAAAATGAGCCTATTTCCAAAAAAAGTGGAGTATCCCTTTAAGCATCATGTGAATGCAAAGACCTCAATACTTAACATTAACATTTGATGGGTCGTTTTTGTGTTTGAATGTGTCATTTTGAGCAAAAAAATTACTCGAAATGTCACAAAATGGCAAGTTACTAATACCAACAACA